TCTACTTGCATCCATTTTATCTAGATATGATTTTGGAAAGTGGAACCCATCCATTGACAGTGAGATTGCAACTATTTGATTTATTTAGTTTTATCTTTTTTGTACTTTGCAAGCTATTTTTATACCTTCAGTGTTGTCGTTTTGAGATAAACTCCAGTTCTTATTTATTAGTTGGACTACTTTTTCAGAAATTGTTGTTTTTCCTGAGCCTGGAATACCTACTCTCCAAAAATTTATTTTACGTTTGTTTTGGTGTCTTATTTCTTGAATTCATTTAATTCTTTTTACCTGCTATAGCAATCAAATAACGTTTTTCTGGGTTCAACCTAATAAATAATATATATAAAAACTGAAATGAGTTTATTATTACTTTTTAGCGTCTTTTACAACTCGGATCGCAAGTGTTTCTAAATCATTTTCAGAATTATACTCCATTTTTAATAAAGATTTAATCTAGTTGATATGAAACAAAGATTATTTCTGTCTCCTAGTTTCATTTTTTTATTTTTGAAACTATCAAGTATCCCATCAATAATAAATGTTTCCATTTCGACTCTAAAAATATAATCCATATTCAAAGGTAATCAAGTAAAAAATTGATTAATTTTGAACATATGACCAGTATTAGGCTATCTTAGACACATTTATTGTAATGTAAACTATGTAGTTTGGTGGGGATATATTTAAATTGAATATTTTTTAATAAAAAATTACAAACAGATAGTATTGGTTCAGTTTCATTTTGGTATTAATTGTTTTTTGATAGTGGGTTTTTACTTTCTGAGGTTGAGGAAATCATTCCAGCTTCTAACAGGAATTGGTGTTGGCGAGTTAAGCAAACCTTTTTCTAACGAGCTCAGAGATTCCACTAGTAATGCTGCGCATCTTTGGTCATTAACAAGAGGAATAGCAAGGTCTACAGCCATTCTACGCATAGCATAGTTTTTGTTACCTTTGGACATTGGTTTTTGTTTTGCAAGATTGAAAATCATATCTATCTTCGATTCCTTTACCAACTCATACAATTTGCGGCGGTCATTATATGGGAATGAAATTGATTTACAATTTCCTTTACCAATATATGATTCAATGGTTTGAACATTTTCAACAGAATCTGAAGCCACTCCAAAGCCATTTGAACTGAAAAATTGTGCAACACTTCCAACAATCTTAGGGTCTGTCAAGTCATCCATCCCAATCAATATTGTGGTATTGGGTTTTGGAAGTCTAAATCCAATGGTAGATAAAAGTCCCATAAGGTATGCTTCCTGTACAGTAGTACCCATACATGCAACCTCACCAGTACTAGCCATCTCCACTCCCAAGAACGGATCAGCACCCCCAAGTCTTGTCCAGCTGAATTGAGGAACTTTGGTGGCAAAATAACCCCATTTTCCAGAGTTTTCCATTAGATCAACTGGTTTTGGGACTTGAGAACCAATCATAGCTTTTGTGGCAACATCAATAAAGTTTACATCAGTTACCTTGGAAACAAATGGTAAAGAGCGTGATGCGCGAAGGTTACATTCAATAATTTTGAGTTTAGGTACTCCAGAATCGTCTGGTTGCATGATAACTTGCATATTGAATGGTCCGGAAATTTCAAAGGCTTTTGCAACTTTAGACCCAAGTTCACGAATTCTGGTAAGAATTTCTTTGGGAACTCCAGATGGTGGTAAAACAAGGGTAGCATCACCAGAGTGGACACCAGCATCTTCCACATGTTCACTGATCGCGTGAACCAAAAGTTCACCCTTGTGAGCAACAGCATCAATATCTAATTCACGAGAGTTACTAATAAATTTGGTCATAACAACAGGGTGTAAAGGAGAAACAGATGCAGCAAGAACTAAGAATCTGTGTAGTGCTTGTTCATCATGAGCCACATTCATAGCAGCACCAGATAGAACATATGATGGTCTAACAAGTACAGGGAATCCATGTTCATCAGCAAATTTCTTAGCATCATCAAAGCTTGTGAGTTCCTTCCAAGCAGGTTGGTCAACACCTATACTATCAAGAATTGAAGAAAATCTATGGCGATCCTCAGCAGCATCGATCATATTGGGGTTTGTTCCAATAACATTCATTCCACTTTGGTAAAGTTTGAGAGCAATGTTTTGTGGGAGCTGACCACCAACACTAACAAACACACCAGATGAATTTTCAAGTTCATAAATATCCCTAACTCTCTCGTAAGATAGTTCATCAAAATATAGACGATCACACTCGTCAAAATCTGTAGAAACAGTTTCTGGGTTATAGTTAACCATGATAGTTTTAAGTTTCATATCTCTCAAGGTACGAGCGGCAGAAACTCCACACCAATCAAATTCAACACTAGATCCAATTCTATATACGCCTGAACCTAGGACCATGTATCCCTTATCTTCAAATGTAACATCATCAGTTGATGCGTTGTATGTGGTATACAAGTAGTTTGTTGGTGCGGGGAACTCACCAGCAAGTGTGTCGATACGCTTTACAAATGGTCTGATTCCCATTTCAGTTCGTTTTTTCCTAACATCATCTTCAGATACTTTAGTTTCTATGTCATCTTTTTCTGAATTAGTACTATTTAATAGTTTTGAGACCTGTACATCAGAAAATCCTGCTCTTTTTGCTGTTTCCATCAAATTGGCTGACATTTTATCTAAAGATAATGAAGGATCACTTAAAGTTTGTCTGAGATTTGTAATGTTCATAAGCTTTTCCAAAAACCAATAATCAATTCCAGTGAGTCTGTGTAGTCTGTCAACACTATATCCACGTCCTATCATTGCGTGTGCAATATGGAAAAGTCTACGATCGGTTGGATTGCTTAAAACTTCATCGAGTTCAGCTTCAGAAGCAGGCTTGCAATCATCAACTGGTTCATAACCACTGAACGAAGGGTCAACTTGTCTGATGGCTTTTTGCAAACTCTCTTCAAAAGTACGGCCAATGGCCATAACTTCACCAACTGATTTCATGGAACTTCCTATATGTCTACTAACATGGTTAAATTTGCCAAGATCCCATCTAGGAATCTTGGTAACAATGTAATCCAGACTTGGCTCAAAACAAGCTGTGGTTGTAGTAGTAACACTATTTTGCAATTCAGGAAGAGTCCATCCAAGAGCAATCTTGGCAGCTACGAAAGCCAAGGGGTATCCAGTAGCTTTACTAGCAAGTGCTGATGATCGAGATAATCTAGCGTTCATTTCAATTACGCAATATTCGAGTGAATTAGGGTTCAGCGCATATTGAACATTGCACTCACCAACAACACCCATATGTCTAACGATCTTGATGGCAGCAGTGCGAAGCATATGATATTCTTCATCACTTAGAGTTTGACTTGGTGCTACTACAATCGAGTCACCAGTATGTATGCCAAGAGGGTCGAAATTTTCCATGTTGCAAACAGTAACACAGTTGTCAGCAGCATCTCTCACAACCTCATATTCTATTTCTTTCCACCCTTTCATTGATCTTTCAACAAGGATCTGTGGAGACAAGGATAAGCTTTGAGTAGCCATAGATCTCAACTCTTGTTCAGTTTCAGCAAAGCCGGATCCTAATCCACCAAGAGCATATGCGGATCTAATGATTACAGGATATCCTATTCTTCTGGCAGCAACAAGGGCATCTTCGACTGAATTTACAGCGGTAGAAACAGCAACAGGGATATCGATGGATTTCAAGGCTTGTGCAAACAAGTCACGATCTTCACTAAGTTCTAAAGTTCTGATGGAAGTTCCTAGAACTTTGATGTTGTGCTTTTTGAAGACACCCATCTTTTCAAGCTGAACACCGCAGTTGAGAGCAGTTTGGCCACCAAACGCAAGCATAATACCATCAGGCTTTTCCTTTTCAATAACTTTTTCCAAGTATTCAGGAGTGACGGGAACAAAGTAAACCGAGTCGGCGAGTTCATGTGAGGTTTGGACAGTAGCAATATTGGGATTTACCAGAATGGTTTCAATGTTGGATTGTTTCATTGCCTTAATTGCTTGAGAACCAGAGTAATCGAATTCTCCAGCTTGACCAATTGTAAGACCACCACTACCAACAATCAAAACTTTTTTAACATCTACTTTGTTGATTGGTTGGGCAATAGCTTCATTTTCGAGAGGTGATGTTTGAGTGTAATGGACAGTAGCACCATGAAAGTTTCGTTTGCCGACATAATTTATGGTCTTTTGTTGGGCTTTTGAAAAGGTTGGAGTGAGCTTGAAGCTATTGGAGCTGATGACAAAAGATT